GGGAGAGAGAAATCAAACTACTCTATAAAGTGTTCTCAACTGGCAACTCTTCTCTTCCTCTAAAGCCCAGACACTAAGGGCAGGAGTAGGGTGGTCTATTCCCTTCTAGTCCTGAACAAGGTGTTTTAGATCTGACTGATCATCTATTTTCTGCCTCTCTAAAATACAAAGATGTTGGGGGCAAGTGACATATAAAACAATTTTATGAAAAATTTAAAAATTTATACAACTAGAGAACAAATTCAGTCAATCCCTATGTAGAGTATCCAGCTTCAAAAATCACCCGTAGTATGCCCAGTCATGTTTTATATGTATCAGTCCTATCCACTTCTTCCCTAACGTATCTTTTGAAGCAAATAGAATGAAGACATTCTATTTAATATTAAAATATAATTTTTTGAGACACTTCACTATTTTTTAATTTAAAGTTTTATTTTTGAACACCAAAAACATTTTATAATTGGGGCATAGCCAATTAACAAGGTTGTGATAGCTTCAGGTGAACAATGAAGGGACTCAGCCATACATTACATGTAGAATACTATGCTACATGTTAAATGTTAAATGACAGTGGGAAAACAAAGAATGGAATTGTGAAAGCCTACAGAAAGAAAGTGATATTTAATGGAGCCTGGAAGAACAGCTTATTAGGCAAAGAAGAACATTCTAGAAATGATGACGAATACATGAAAAATTTAAGAGGGGGTCTCTTATTATAGTAAATGTGTTAAATTCAGTAAAACTGGAACAAGGGTGTAAAGAATAGGATGGAAGAAGGAAAGATTTGGTTAGAGAGGTAGATGTATGTAAAGGTGGACAGGTTGGACTGGGGTGAGATATGAAGAGAAGACAAGATATGGACTGTTTTAACAGTTTGCTTTCAGAAATAAGGAGGTCAAAGGGAGTGGTGCTGTTCAAAATGAGAGCTGCTAACAGGTCACTTGGTTCTTACAAGGCAAGCCCACTGGTGAGTAACTGTCAGGAATAAATACTCCTTGCTTTGTTCCTGTCTCTTCTCTGATTATAAGACAATGAATTTTATTAAACTGCAGGAGCTGTCTTTTAGGTTTACGTTGCAAATATTTTCGTTGTTTAGTTGCCAAGTCCGGTCTGTCTCCTTTGTGATCCCACTGACTGTAGCCTGCCAGGCTCCTCTGTCCATGGGATTTCTCAAGCAAGAGCACTGTAGCGGGTGGCTATTTCCTTCTCCAGAGGATCTGCCCAACCCAGCGATCAAACCCTCATCTCCTGCACTGGCAGGGGATTCTGCACCACTAAGTCACCTGGGAATTATCCTGCTTAGAATACTTGGTTCATGCTTACAAAACGTTGTACTTATTTACTCTCCTCTACTTTTCTCCAATTTCCACCTCACACGGGGGTCACTTCTTTTCTAGCAACTTGTGCGATTCTATGTGCCTTGAGGAGCCTGACCTTCATTTAACACCATTAAACAGAATATTGTACAGACACCTGTCTTTTGTTGGCACAAAATCTGCCCTACCCTCCCTGTTCACCCATCATCACTTGTTTCCCTGTCCCCTTCCTTCATTCCGCCTGTAGTTCTTTTTCACACCCTTCAGAATTTCATATTACAGTAACACTACATATAAGAAGGCATTTCTTTCAGCGAACATAAACTTCCAAATTAACTTCGTTTGCTCTTCGGTTTTACTCCAATAGTGATACGAGATATTAACAAAGATGAAACTTGGATCAGGTGATCCTCCTCATCCGGTCTTAGCGATAAACATCTGGAGGTAGTGAGAAGCTCGTTAAGGTTAAAATATTTGCCTCTTCTGCCTCAAATAGGGGCTTGCTCCTCGTTCCCAACCTCTCAATTGCCTGTGATGGAGGGTGAGAGAAGGAAAAAATTGAAAATGGGCTCTTTTCCCCCCTTAGGGCTTCTCTTGTGGTTCAGACGGTAATGAGTCTGTCTGCAATGAGGGAGACCCCGGGTTTGAGTCCTGGGTTGGGAAGATCCCCTGGAGAAGGGAATGGCAACCCACACGAGCGCCCTAGATCTCAGGACGTCTTCGCCCATTCGCCCTGGGGATGGGACCTATTTATGGAGTCAGATGAGAGTCCTTTGGGCTGAGAAACAGTCACCAATTGGGCAACGATCACTCACTTGGAGCAGACACCATGAGCAGCTCGGAAAGGTCCGGGTACATGCGGTCTTCTTGCAACTGACGGTCGATGAGCCGCCCCGCATTTTCCAAAGCTTCCTGCAGGGCTGCGGCCGACGTGGAGGCCGGCATCGCCGACCCCAGCAAAGAAGACGGCATATCCAAAACCGAAGGCAAGAGCGACCGGAGAAAGTCAAAAAGCAAGGAGAAATAAGAGAAAACCCAAGACGCTAGCTCAGCCCCAAAGCTTAGAGCGCGCGCGCCAAACGAGGGCCGCGGCGCCAGTGCATGACGCACTTCCGCTTCATCGGGTGGGGAATTTGAAGCTTGCATTTGGCAGCTGGGAACGGGAACTTGTTAGAGGGCTGGACGTTAGGGGTGGAGCTAAGTGAGAGGGAGGCGGCTGTTTGGGGAGCGGTAGGGGGGAAGTCGGTGTTGTCTGGGAGAAAGGGAGAGACAGAGGTGGAGGGAAAGGGAGGGGGGGAGCCTAGGGAAGGGGAGGAAGGGGACGGGGTCCGTAGGGGTGGAGAGGGTGGAGGGGCCGGGTGAGTGGGAGCCGGTTACTGCGGGTACTGCGCAGACTGGCTCGGGTTCTGGTGGGTTCAGCGCGCGCTTGGATCCGGGTGCCTCGAGCTTCGGGCAGCGGAAACCCGCAACAGCACCTGTTTGAGTCTCGTGTCAACTTGTTTGGTGCTCCAAGTAACTTCGGACTTTCCTGGTGGCTCAGACTGTAAAAGCGTCTGCCGACAAAGCGGGTTCGATCCCTGGGTTGGGAAGACCCCTGGAGAAGGAAATGGCAACCCACTCCAGTACTCTTGCCTGGAAAATCCCATGGACGGAGGAGCCTGGTAGGCTACGGTCCACGGGGTCGCAAAGAGTCGGACACGACTGAGCAACTTCACTACTAAATAACTTCTGAGATGAGAGTGGATAGGAATTGGTAACCGTTAGAAAAAGTTTACACATAAACCAAAATTTCTCTACATTTCTAATGGATTTCGGTGTAAATCAGGCTTTCTAGTTCCGTGTTGCTACCAGTTGATTTTGTGGTACGTCACCGTGAAAATTTATGTTTACGAAATCTTCACTGGGTGCAGAGATCTGATGCCTTGCTTTATTTCTCATTGCAGAGGGGAAGCAGATGATTCCAATTCACTGTTTCATAACCAGCACACAGTAGGGCTGGTATAGAATAGGCCACCCAACACGCTTTCCTAGTAGCTCAGATGGTAAAACATCCGCCTGCTATGTTTTACCGGGGTTCGATCCCCGGGTTGGGAAAACTCCTATGGGGAAGGAAATGGCAACCCACTCCAGTATTCTTGCCTGGAGAATCCAACGCACAGAGAAATCTGACTGGCTACAGTTCCATGGGGTCACAAAGAGTGACACGATGGGGCGAGTAACACATAGACACCCAACATGTCATCTACAGCAGTGGGATTCTTAATTTGCGTCAGGCATTGTACCTGTGCTGGGAATATCAAACTGAAACAACTTTCGTGTTCTGATGGAAACTCTCCTGTCCTCATGCAAGGACGCAGGCAAAAAACCCGAGTATATCACTTTGTTTTCTATAGAATAGTATTAACTGAAGTAGAGGGGTAGAAAAGGAAAGATATACCCATCTGAATGCAGAGTGCCAAAGAATAGCAAGGAGAGATAAAAAAGCCCTCAACTGAACTATGCCAAGAAATAGAGGAAAACAACAGAATGGGAAAGACTAGAGATGTTTTCAAGAAAATTACAGATAGCAAGGGAACATTTCATACAAAGATGGGCACAATAAAGGACAGAACCTGTATGGCCCTAACGGAAGCAGAAGATATTAAGAAAAGGTGGCAAGAATACACAGAAGAACTATATGAAAAAGGTCTTAATGATCCGGATAACCACAATGGTGTGATCACCCACCTAGAGCCAGACATCTTGGAATATGAAGTCAAGTGGGCCTTAGGAAGCATCACTACGAACAAAGCTTGTGGAGGTGATGGAATTCCAGCTAAGCTATTTCAAATCCTAAAAGATGATGCTGTGAAAGTGCTGCACTCAATATGCCAGCAAATTTGGAAAACTTAGCAGTGGCCACAGGACTGGAAAAATGTCAGTTTTCATTCCAGTCCCAAAGAAGGGCAATGCCAAAGGGTATTNCCACGGAATGAAAAGATGCTTGCTCCTTGGAAGAAAAGCTATGACAAACCTAGACAGCATATTAAAAAGAAGAGACAATACTTTGTTAACAAAGGTCCATCTAGTCAAAGCTATGGTTTTTCCAATAGTCATGTTTGCACGTGAGAGTTGGACCATAAAGAAAGTTGAGCGCTGAAGAACTGAGGCTTTCGAACAGTGTTGCTGGGTCTTTCCCAGTAAGTCAGCTTTTTGCATCAGGTGGCCAAATTATTGAAGCTTCAACTTCAGCATCAGTCCTTCCAATGAATATTCAGGGTTGATTTCCTTTAGGATTGACTGTTTTGATCTCCTTGCAGTCCAAGGGACTTTCTAGAGTCTTTTCCAACACTGCAGTTTGAAAGCATGAATTCTTTGGCGCTCACCCTTCTTCATGGTCCAACTCTCACATCCACACATGACTACCGGAAAAACCATAGCTTTGAATAGACGGACCTTTGTCAGCAAAGTGATGTCTCTGCTTTTTAATACGATGTCTAAGTTTGTCATAGCTTTTCTTCCAAGGAGCAAGTGTCTTTTAATTTCACAGTTGAAGTCATGGGAAAGACTGAGAGCAGGAGGAAGAGGGGGCAACAGGGGATGAGATGGTTGGATAGCTCAATGGACATGAGTTTGAGCAAACTCCAGGAGATGGTAAAAGACAGGGAAGTCTGGCGTCCTGCAGTTCATAGGCTTGCAAAGAGTCAGACAAGACTTAGCAACTGAACAAAGGAACTTATTTCTCATTGGCAAAAATGTGTAGATTGTAATTGTTCTTATTTTGATTATAAAGATGTTTGAGGCTAGTTATAATGATTACAAATTCATGGTCCCGAATTGCAGTTATATTTGAACCAACTCAATAAGTGGTCATCCTGCATGCCACACTAAAGATTCCACATGCCACAACTAAAAGACCCAAATAAATGTGCAGCCAAATAAATAAAAATTAGAAATTTTAAAAGTAACTTATTTAAAAGAATAATGTCTAATCCTTGTTACTGTAAAGAACACATTTTACGAAAAATTGTCAGTTTGTAAAACTAAGCCATTAATGAAAAGAATGGTGTTATTTTACATTTTTGCAGATCCCTTAAATGTTTGGCTAAATAAGAGATAGCTAGATTTTCATATGACCGTTGTTATATGTTGTTTAGTGGAAGTATATAAAGTATACGTATACTTATATAAGTATTTATAAAAAGCAGAGACATCACTTTGTTGACAAAGGTCCGTCACACACAGTTACACAGTTGGAGAAGGGGGTATTTTAACATTTATAGACACTTGTGAATATTCTTCTCTGACAGCATACCAAAACTTTCTTAAAGGTTAGCTGTGATGTGACATTTGAAGCCATCTTTAGAATTCTGAGGATTAAGTGTCACCTGGTCGGTAAATGCATTTTAGGAAGCAAAAAGAGTCAATAGAAACGCCAGATGGGTTTAATCGGACGCCTGGCTCCGTGGCGCTTATACATCGCCAGCCCGCTAGGGCGGCGCTGCCCATGGAGGCCTCTGTCCCTCCGCGCAAGACGCCTCTCTTGGCCTTGGCGGCGACGCTGACGCTTGAAGGCGATACTTCCTGCCCGGTTTGCCGGGAGTCTTCGGCAGCTGTGCGTGCAGTGGTTGTTGCTGGTTTCTTGGAGGGTGGCCGAGCATGGAGCGCCCGGGACCCAGCGATGGTGGGTTCAGTGAGGCGAGCACCTGTAGGATGGGCCGGGCAGGGCGGGCGGCGCTGGGGTCGCCCTCTGATAAGGCCTTTTCCCTTTTCTCTTTCTCAAATGACAGGCTCAGACGCATCGGGACCAGACCCGCAGCTGGCGGTCACCATGGGCTTCACGGGGTTCGGTGAGTGACTGCCCTAAACATGGTCTCCTTTTGCAGAGATTTTAACAGTCGCATGTTGGTAGGGGCGTTCGAGCTGTCACTTGTGTTCCGACATTCCGCTGTGCCTCGTCCTATTTATTAATACTTTCAGCTCTAGTGTGTGTATCTTGCAATTTTTAAGTCACACTCTTCCCTCATCTGTTTTCTAACTCCTGTCTGTCTCTTGAGACCAGCCCAGGTGACACTTACGGGACGGTTATAGAAAAAGAAAGATTGTTGCCTGACCTACGTGGTGGAAGGTGTTGGTTAATGGAGAGAGTTGTTTCTCTGCATCCTGAGGTTGAGAGCCAACCACTGATTGTGGTCTGTAATAAGATGGCCCTTTTGGCATCAAGTGGGCTATTAAGTGATGTTATAATAGTTAAATTTGTTATTTTGTTGAAGTATTGGTGGTTTAGTCGCTAAGTCCTGTCTGGCTCTTGCGACCCGATGGGCTAAAGGCCACCAGGCTTCTCTGTTCATGGGATTCTGCAGACAAGAATACAGGCGTGGGTTGCCATTTCCTTCTCCAGAGGATCTTCCCAACCCAGGGATAGAACCCGGGTCTCCTTCATTGCAGGCAGATTCTTTACCAATTGAGCTAAGGGGAAATAGAGTTGATTTATAATGTCATGTTAATTTCCGGTGTACAGCACAGTGACTCATTTAAACATACACACACACATATTACTAGATATTCCTTTCCCTTATAGGTTATTACAAACTGTTGAATATAGTTCCCTGTGCTGTACAGTGGGTCCTTGTAGGTTAGTCTTTTTTTCTATTCCAAAGTCTTCACTTGTGTCTCTTGTTTGTTCATTCATACATTCATTTATTCGGGTAATGTCTTGAACCACATATTTATTATCTCCTAGGAGGTCATGTCTACAAAAGTGCTGTATGCTTCTGTAGTATTCAGTTGAGTCACTCAGTCGTGTCTGACTCTGCGACCCCATGGACTGCGGCGCGCCAGGCCTCCCTGTCCATCACCAACTCCTGGAGTTTACACAAACTCATGTCCATTGAGTTGGTGATGCCATCCAACCATCTTATTCTTTGTCATCACCTTTTCTTACTGCCTTCAATCTTTCCCAGCATCAGGGTCTTTTCAAATGAGTAAGTTTTCACATCAGGTGGCCAAAGTATTGGAGTTTCAGTTTCAGCATCAGTCCTTCCAGTGAATATTCAGGACTGATTTCCTTTAGAATGGACTGGTTGGATCTCCTTGCAGTCGAAGGGACTCTCAAGAGTCTTCTCCAATTCCACAGTTCAAAAGCATCAATTCTTTGGCACTCAGCTTTCTTTATAGTCCAACTCTCACATCCATACATGACTACTGGAAAAACCATAGCCTTGAGTAGATGGACCTTTGTTGGCAAAGTAATGTCTCTGCTTTTTAATATGCTGTCTAGGTTGGTCATAACTTTCCTTCCAAGGAGTAAGCGTCTTTTAATTTCATGGCTGCAATCACCATCTGCAGTGATTTTGGNTTTTCTGGAATTCTCTTGCTTTTTCGATGATCCAACGGATGTTGGCAGTTTGATTTCTGGTTCCTCTGCCTTTTCTAAAACCAGCTTGAATATCTGGAAGTTCTCGGTTCACATACTGTTGAAGCCTGGCTTGGAGAATTTTGAGCATGACTTTACTAGCATGTGAGATGAGTGCAATTGTGTGGTAGTTTGAGCATTCTTTGGCATTGCCTTTCTTTGCGATTGGAAAGAAAACTGACCTTTTTCAGTCCTGTGGCCACTGCTGAGTTTTCCAAATTTGCTAGCATATTGAGCGCAACACTTTAACAGCATCGTCTTTTAGGATTTGAAATAACTCAACTGGAATTCCGTCACCTCCTCTAGCTTTGTTCATAGTGATGCTTCCTAAGGCCCACTTGACTTCTCATTCCAGGATGTCTGGCTCTAGGTGAGTGATCTTACCATTGTGATTATCTGGGTTGTGAAGATCCTTTTTGAATAGTTTTTCTGTGTACTCTTGCCACCTCTTCTTAATATCTTCTGCTTCTGTTAGGTCCATACCACATCTGTTCTTTATTGTGCCCATCCTTTCTTGAAATGTAGTATTATATACTTACCTTTGTACACAGTATTATGTAGTGTAGTATTATGTTACTTATTTTTGTTTTAGTTCTTTTTAATAGCTTTCTCCCTAATAAAAAGAACACAATAAATGAGAAGGAAGAAAGTAAATCATTCATAATCTCATGAGCTAAAAATCAAGGCATAAAAATTTGTTTGCTTTCCAGTTTTTTTCTGTTGTGTGTTAATAACATTAAGATTGCATGTATATATGTACAATTTTATTACATGGAATTTGTTGAGTTCTTAATATTTTGAGGATTTTCCCATTTTATAAAAATGCTCTTCCAAAGCGTGTCTTCTGCTGGGTTGAATACTAGATAGAAGTGCTATAATTTGTAACATTTTAAGGTTTCTGTCACATAGTTCCTAACATTTATCAGTAACACTGAAATAAACATTTTTATAAAGAACTCTTTCATCTCCTTTTGTAAAAGGAGTTTTCTGTATACTTCATAGGGTAGATTTCTACAGGAGGGACTACTTTGATAAAATATATAGGTATTAAAAAGTAGCAAAAATTGAGTATATAGCTTTTAAAACTTCTTGGTATATGTTGTCATAATGTTCTTTAGAAAGGTGGTTTCCATTTATATCAATCAGTAGTGTGTAAGAAAAGCATTTTTACCACATTCTAACTTAACACAGAATAGGTATTAGTACTGAAAAAAAAAACTAGTAAAATCAAATACAACATTGCTTCCAAGCAGATGCAGGTCATCAGGATGTCAGTTCCTGGTGGTTTTAGGATTGAGACCCCTGTTTGCTTACTGCCTTTCAAGTGGTAGTCTCTTACCTCTTTCTCATACCTGCATTGCTTGTCTTCTTGCCCCCTTCATCTGTAAATGCACTGCGATCCTTCTCAAGTCTGAGGTCTCTCTGACTTCTGCCATATCTATTCTGCATCTCTTCTGCATTTTCTTGTAAGACCTTCTGTGATTAGACTGGGCTTGCCAGGATAATCTCTCAGCTTTTGAGTCTATAACCTTAATTAATGTGCAGAGTCCCTGTGAATGTAATAGATACACAGGTTTAAGGAATTACGATATGAACATTCTCTATTCTGCCTAGTACCCCATGTTGAAGTTTCAAAGAGTAGAGTCTAGATAAATTACAGGAGGATGGGAAAGTTGGCTGGTTAATGTTATTTAGTAATGAGATTGTAATTAAATTTCCCTGGGGAGTTGGGACTTCCCTGGTGATCCAGTGGCTAAGACTCTGAGCTTCCGTACAGGGGGCGTGGGTTGGATCCCTGGTCAGGGAACTAGATCCTGCATGTTGCAACTAAAGATCCTGAGTGCCACAGCTAAGATCTAGTGCAACCAAATAAATAATAAATATTTAAAAAAAAATTCCCTGGGGAGTAAATGTTTTCTTCATTGATATTTTATGGTTATTTGGTAGCTGTGCTATAAATTAGATAGACTTTAAGTGGTTATTGATACATCAGTAAGTAAGTATTGAGTACCCGAACACTGGCCAACTTATTTCAAGAAAATCACAGTCTGCTTCTTATTCCTGTTTTAGGAAAAAAAGCTCGCACATTTGATTTGGAAGCAATGTTTGAACAAACTCGAAGAACAGCAGTGGAAAGAAGTCGGAAAACACTGGGTAAGAAGTTTAGTTATTTGCTTGCTTATTTATGTAGATACTGTATCTAATTTACACAGATGTGTTACCAGTTATAAAATTATAAGACTGAAAAAAATTTCAAAACTGTTAAAAGTTCACATGTGCTGGTTCCTTTGGAAGCAGTTTTTTTTTTTTTTAAGTCTCATTTTTTTTAATATGATAAAAGTTGTATCTAAATAGGATAAGAAGATCTGAGTTCTAAAATCTGTGAGAAGTGTGAGCTATGAGCAAACAAGGATTCAAAGTTAATTAATAAGAATCAGAATAGGGACTTCCTTGGTGACCCAAGTGATGGGGGATCCACCTTGCAATGCAAGGGACGCAGGTTCAGTCTCTGGTCTGGGAAGATTGGACATGCTTCGGGGCAGTTACACCCTGGAGCCACAACTAAGACCTAATGCAGCCAAATAAACAAATAAATATTAAAAAAAAAAAAAGAATCAGAATAGTGGTTTCCTTTCTTCTTCACCCTCTTTCTGATTCTCATTTCATTTTTTTTTTTTTTCCTGCTTACAGTGGAACCAGTATTTGGAAGGCTGAGCTAGAGGTGGCTCTCAGAGTTGTGTATACCACTGATCGTTGACCCAGAAAGTATAGAAAATTGAGCCATCCAGTGAATGGGGCTGGCGCTGTTGAATCCCTGCATTCATGAGTTGTATCAGACATTTAATGAAGTCCTTAACTTCCAGACTGTCTGGTTTGATAGCAGGTGGTTGGCATTTCTAGCTACCACCTCAGGATCTTTGTAGCTGACTGTCTCCTCTACTGCTTTATTTAGATCTGATTCAGATCATTCTTATACTAGAGAAGGGATAGATGTAAACTGATAGAGCAGAAGGCACTCGGAACCAGACAGGACTCCTGGAAGAATTTAAGTGAAGTTTGCTCCAGTGCTTATCACTGTTTTAAAATGATAAATTATATAGCACACATTTGAGAAGTGAGCATGATTTTTGGTCTTTGGAAGAATAATAGTTTTTGATTTGTGTGTGTGTGTGTGTTAAAAAGACAGCTATCTACATATAATGTGTATTGTTTAAAAAAAACTTCAACTATTACCTGAAATTTCAGTTACATACAGAAGTACAAGAATGAACTCCCTTATTCCTATCACACAGATTTAACTATTGTAACAGTTTATGGCCAGTGTTATTTCCATTTACTTCTCCTCTCAGATTGCTTTAACAAAAATCCTAGATACATTACTTCACCTATAAATATTTTTGTATGTCTTTAAGTGATAAGGATTTTGAAAAATCTTAACCAAAATACTATTACTACACCTAAGAATATTAAGTAATTTAGTATCATCAAACAATATGTAGAGACATGTTCTCTGTAGCATATGTACAAATGCATTACACACTTCATCTTTGAATGTTTCAGTGAACATTTGTATTATTACAGTTAGCTTTCCAGCGTGTGATACCAAATGCTTTGAATAGTGATTGTCTTATTCCCCTACCTAAGTTTTATAGTCCCCATTACCATGCCTTGTAAGATAGGTTCTTAGTATTTATTTGTGCAGACTGAATTGAATTTAAAACTGCAGTATTGCCTTAAAAAAAAAATAAACCTTGCATCTTTGGAGAATGTGTATGTGTTTCTTTTGGCCACACTGAGTGGCATGCAGGACGTTAGTTTCTTGACCAGGAATTGAATCCTTCATCACTGTATTGGGAGCTCAGAGTTTTAAACACTGGACCACCAGGGAAGCCGCTGGAGAATTTTTTTAAATGGCATGATTAATTGTAAAGAGTTTGGAATTTGGAGTTGGAGGACCCAGCTTTAAGGGTTAGACCCACATTCTACTAGATGAATAACTTGGATGGATCTTCAAATTTCAGGTTTTTAATTTCCCCAATCTGTTTCTTGACAATGGTAAAGTCTCCTGTATTTATTATAAGTTCTCTTCAGGTTTCTTGAAGGGATTAAGATGTTGGGCATAGTACTTTTTAAACAGTAATGTTATAAATGTCACTTTTAATTCCTATCATTTTTCTTAGTAAAATATGTATTCATGTAACACTTAAGTGGAATTACAATAAAGAGTTATTAGAGTTCTAAAATTTTGAAAAATTATCTCAGGGCCTTGTTTTCCTATTGTTATTTGTGGATGAATTAAATGTGTTGAACTTTCTTGACTTTGTGTTACATTCTTGGACTTAGACTCCTGTTTCTACCCCTGCATCTAAATATAAGAAGCCAAAGTTTGCCTTACTTTTCTTAAAAGTTAAAAAAATCTGACATGGGCCTTATTTATCTAATGATAGATATTGGAGTCTTCTTGAACTTTGACACCAGACTTGAGGAAAAGACGAACTTTTGGTTCCTTTTAATGGCAGATTTAACTGTGTATGCAGATGTGAAGTTTTGGTTGTTAAGTGCTCTAATAGAAAGGATGAATTATACTATAAAGCCTGAATAAAATATGTATTACCAAAAATGTTAGAAAATAGTGTTATAAATTGTTTTTGAAGTATTTTTTAAGCTTATGAAAGCTGTTAGTAGGTTTTGGACATGTGAAAGACATAGACTCTTTTAGAACTAATATACTATGAGGAGATAGATGGGGAAGAAAATGTCTTTTATTTAAATGCTTATTTTTGAGTGTGGCCATGGTTTCAATGGATTATGAACCTTCTGTTACATGACTGGAAAAAAATTCCTTGAGACGATATTGAGATAGGATTTTAAGATGATTTCAGTGGATGATTTAATTATCTTGGAAAGAATAATTGTCCCAGAGGTTTTAGAAATTAGAAAAGCTTAAAAAAAGTTTTTTTTTTTAACTTGAAATTTTCTTCCTATGTAGCTAAATCCTACCTTATCCTTTAAGGCCTCACCTCGTATTTTACCTTTTCTAAGTATTCGAAACTCTTCTGGATGTAACTGTTCTCTACATTTTTTTAATAATACTTTATTATAAATTTATTTTAGTATTGTTCATGTCTTGATAATCTTGTTTTTCATATTTATACTTACAGTATCTTAATGCAGAACTTGGTATATAGTAGTTACATCTCTAAATAGTTAATAAAGAATTATAACTAATGTGGTCAAATAATCCTGATCTTGTTTTTTTATTTGTAGTCATTTTTGCCCTAAACATTTTAAATTAAATATAATTTTTCTTGAAATTGGTAGCCTACTGAATCATTTTAGAATGGCAGAAACATTTAGCAAGTGGCTTCCCTGGTGGCCCAGATGGGGAAAAATCTGCCTGCAATGGGGGAGACCCAGGTTTCATCCCTGGGACGGGAAGTGGCAACCCATTCCAGTATTCTTGCCTGGAGAATCCCCTTGGACAGAGGAGCCTGGTTTGCTACAGTTCATGGGGTCACAAAGAGTTGGACACAACTGAGCAACTAGAAAAAAAGAATATGATTAAAACATCATTCTAGCTTGTTTCTATTAGTTTTACTTCTTTTGCATGTTATTTTAACACTCATTTCTTCTTATAATGCTTGCGATATAATGGAAGTGAGATTTTTCAGCTGCTAAATTACATTCGTGTGAATCTGCAGTTTGTGTGAATCAGCCCACTTGGGACGTGGTAGTTTTGGATAGTTTGCTGTTATCCTGGATGAATTGTGTACAGCTGGGGTGCTTTTGCAGAATGGCTGTCCAAAACTATTAGCTACCTGAGAATAGAGAGAGACCAATAAATTGAGATACTTAAAAGAATAAAACGAGGTGTTGCGGAGTAAGTTAATTCACTTTGCTAATGGAACATACAGAGCATGTTTACAGGATTTACAGAGCACTTGGTATTACAGTGCTTGGTCCTACTCTTGGTAAAGTACACAAAAATGATCCCTTTAGCCAGGGAACTGCAGTCTATTGAATTAGTCTCATTTTGGTTTGTCCTTAGTAGACAGTGAGATAAAAAAATATTTTTTTCCTCACAAATGCCTTTTTTTCTTCTTGTTTTAATGAAGCAGCAGGTGATGACAGGAACCTCTCTGGGTAGAAAATCTTTACTATTGTAAAAAATAAAAAAGTGAAGTTTTAAATTAAAAAGTTAGAGACTTCCTTTGTGGTCCAGTGGTTAAGACTCAGTGCTCCCAATGCAGGGGGTACAGGTTTGATCCCTAGCCAGGGGACTAAGATCATGCATGCTGCCCAGCATGGCTGAAAAATAATTAAAATTAGAACAGCTAAATTAAAAAATTGGATAATTCACTTGGATGGGGCAAATAGTTTGGAGTACTCATCCACTGGGGAGGAACTCTAGTTAGATACGTGGGTGGGTATAGTTTCCAAATAGTCTGGTGACAGGTAAGCAAATAAAGAGCTGTACTTTATGGCCCTTTGGGGAGAGAGGCAGGCTCACTGTGGGTGGTACTCACTAGATAATTTTACAGGCTTCAGGAGGTCTGGTCACACCAAGGAAAGATACATTGTGGAGTCTCAATTGACAATTTTGTTCTGACTGTAGCGTTACTTCTCTGCTTTGGATTCTTAAACTATTAAGTGAAGATAGTAGTATTTACTTCAGCTCTATTGGATATGGCTGAAATTTGCTAAGATGGTAGAACTTCATTGTTCTTACAAAAAAAGAAACACAGGATAAATATGTGGGGTGATGGTTGTGTTCATTGACTCCATGGGAAGATTTCTTTCTCAGTGTGTTTTTGTACCAAATCATCACATTGTACACTTTACCTGTCTTACAGTTTTGTCAATTATACCCCATTAAAGCTGAAGTAAAAAAAGTTTCTGCTTCAGGGATTGTTATAAAGATTGTTGTTGTCGTTCAGTCACTTCAGTTCAGTTCAGTTCAGTCGCTCAGTCGTGTCCGACTCTTTGCGACCCCGTGAATTGCAGCATGCCAGGCCTCCCTGTCCATCACCAAATCCTGGACTTCACTCAAACTCATGTCCATCAAGTCAGTGGTGCCATCCAGCCATCTCATCCTCTGTCGTCCCTTTCTCCTCCTGCCCCCAATCCCTCCCAGCATCAGGGTCTTTTCCAATGAGGGAACTCTTCGCGTGAGGTGGCCAAAGTATTGGGAGTCCCAGCTTCAGCATCAGTCCTTCCAATGAACACCCAGGACTGATCTCCTTTAGGATGGACTGGTTGGATCTCCTTGCATTCCAAGGGACTCTCAAGAGTCTTCTCCAACACCACAGTTCAAAAGCATCAATTTTTCAGCGCTCCGCTTTCTTCACAGTCCAACTCTCACATCCATACATGACCACTGGAAAAACCATAGCCTTGACCAGATGGACCTTTGTTGGCAAAGTAACGTCTCTGCTTTTTAATATGCTGTCTAGGTTGGTCATAACTTTCCTTCCAAGGAGTAAGTGTCTTTTAATTTCATGGCTGCAATCACTTAGTCATGTCCAACTCTTTGCAACCCCATGGACTGCAGCACACCAGGCTTCTCTGTCCTTTACCATCTCCTGGAGTTTGCTCAAGCTCATGTCCATGATGCCATTCAACCATCTTGTTCTCTGTTGTTCCCTTCTCCTCCTGCCTTCAATTTTTGCCAGCCTCAAGGTCTTTACCAGTGAGTCACCTCCTCTTCACATCAGGTGGCCAAAGTATTGGAACTTCAACTTCAGCATCAGTCCTTCCAATGAACATTCAGGGTTGATTTCCTTTAGGATTAACTGATTTGATCTCCTTGCAGTACAAGGGATTCTCAAGAGTCTTCTCCAACACCGCAGCTCAAAAGTATGAATTCTTTGATGCTCAACCTTCTTGATAGTCCAACTCTCACATCCATGCATAGCTTCTGGAAAAACCATTGCTTTCACTATTCAGACCTTTGTTGGCAAAGTGATGTCTCTGCTTTTTAATATGATGTCTAGGTTTGTCATAGCTTTCATTCAGGGAGCAAGCGTCTTTAATTTCATGACTGCAGTCACTGCCTGCAGTGATTTTGGAGCCAAGAAAATAGTCTGTCACTGTTTTCATTCCAAAGAAGTCATAGGAGACCTAATACAAAATGACTTAAATAAGAAAAGTTTAGTATTACACCATGACAAGAGCTCTGAAATGGGACTCTTCCATTTTCTGAATCCTGATATGAAGGACTTAAAGATTTTTCCCCTTTTTTCTGCTTTGCCAGTTTTAGAGTGTTGTCTTATCCTAAGCTCACTGTCCTCATGACTCAAAATTTTGTTAACATACAGATGACCACATCCACAGGCTGAAAGGCTTTTGTGTAACTCTTCAGGAGTAAGAAAACCTTGCTCAAATGTACCTCCAGCTGACTTCCTCTCATGTGTTATTAGCCAGTATTAGTGTGGTACATCAGTTGCAAAAACAGCCCTTGCAGGTACACTATGGTTTACTTGAAATCAAACTTTACTCCTTCTGGACAGGAAGGGGCCCAGCATCAGGAGAATTGTGGTTTTCTTTGCAAGGAAAAAGGGAGAAGTAGCTGCTAATAGGTGACTAATGATGTGCCTTAGTGTGGATTCCTGATTAGTGTCCTTAAAACCTGAGCCTGCAGTCCGAGTGTGGCCTCCCCCGCCTCACTTCCCAACCTCTCTCAGCTCCCCTGCCCTCCCTCACCCTGGAGGGTTCAGAGGGAATTACTGGGGAGGCAGGATGAAGGTAGGAGCCCAGCAGGC